ATGAGCTATCCCGAGCTCGGCTATGCCGGGTTGCAGCCGAGCTCGGTCCTACCCTGATTTCTGCTAAAGGTTTTGATAAACTAGTAAATTGCTCGGTCTTATTGTATTTTTGGATCAAAAGGCGATCTAGAGCCCGGTCCGCCCCAGTTCTTCGTGTATTCATGTGTTCATCACTGGGATTGAAGATGACCGGCGCCATTGAAGGCGTGTAGATTCCACGGTTCATTATTTAGCTCGGCAGGAAGGCCGGTGGCAAACTAGTATGAGCTGTCCCGAGCTCGGCTATGCCGGGTTGCAGCCGAGCTTGGTCCTACCCTGATTTCTGCTAAAGGTTTTGATAAACTAGTAAATTGCTCGGTCTTATTGTATTTTTGGATCAAAAGGCGATCTGGAGCCCGGTCCACCCTAGTTCTTCGTGTATTCATGTGTTCATCACTGGGATTAAAGAACAACGAAGAGAATAGGGGCGAATGTGGGTTTTGGGAGGGTTATGTCCTAAAACCTACGGATTTGGTGCCCTAAAAGGAGTAATATCAAACGAAATGACAATAAGGAGAGTTGAAGGACTTACCAGTTGAGGACAGGGATTACTTATTTGAGCACGAGTGCAAGAAAGGGCAAGGGTGAAGCTTGCTAGGGATGCTTGAGCTCTGGAACGTTGAAGGTTTGAGGTGAGACAGTAAGAATGGAATGAAATAAAATGGGGCATGTTTATAGGGGTGGAAAGGCCGCCCAAAATTTGAATTGAAGGGACGTGACTGTTGGTGGCTCGAGGCCAATCAGCGCACGACACGTGTCCCCAATAATGGCAGCGTCAGAGTTGAAGAGACAGAAATGTCAGACGAGGCGTCGACCGAACAAGTTAAGATACAGGAAGGTCAGAGGAGGCGTCGACCGAGAAAGACAAGGAACCGAGCGCAGAAATTAGCTCGGTCGATTTCCTGCAAAACTGAGAACCGAGGAAGTGTTTACCCCGGTCATAACAGGTAATCCCAGTCACGCTTTGGCGGACGGAATTAAGGGGCAATTGAGAGGGAGATTTATGGTCTGGTTTGGGCCGTGGAAATGGCCGGGCAGATTTGGGTCGAACAAGTTTGGGCCGCGGTAAAACGGGCCTATCCTGAAAGGTTTTGCTCGGTTAAGGCAAGGCGTGGTCGGACCGAGCTACGTGGCTCCATGGTGTAGAAGCCAGTGAAGTGAGATGACCGGCGCCATTGAAGGCGTGTAGATTCCACGGTTCATTATTTAGCTCGGCAGGAAGGCCGGTGGCAAACTAGTATGAGCTGTCCCGAGCTCGGCTATGCCGGGATGCAGCCGAGCTCGGTCCTCAATGAGCTTGGATATTGGAACGCTTGGGCTTGAAGTGCAGCATGGCCGTTGGAAGCCGAGATACTGCAATCCGGCTGCCGAGCTCCCAGTAGAGTGGGTTGGCAGTTGGGATTAGGTGATGTTCCGCAAGATTTGTGCTGACCGATGGGATAACAGCACCACGTGTTGAGAGACTAATGAGAGTGGGTTTGGGGCGCAGAAGGTATATAAGCGAGTCTGCGCCTCCCATACGAAACATATGACATTTTGGTGAGATAAACACTAAACAAAACTCAGTCCTCTCTCTCTCTCTATCCCTGTGTGTGTGTCTAACTTGATCATCGGAGGGGCTTTCTGGTCACACACCGCCGGGTAGCTCACCGCCGTTGTGCTCGTAGGTTGATTGGACAGACAAGAGCTTGGAAGAAAGGAGTGTGGACTTACCTGAATATTTGCTCCCCGCATAGTAAGAATTTGATTGCTATGACTTCAAAGAGCTACGCAACATGAGATAAAGTTAGGTTTATTTCTTTGTTAAATGATTTGATTTGCAACAATGATGTGGATTTTTTTTATAGTTAGTTTGATAATTGTAAAAAAAAAAATTAAATTAAATATAATATTTTATCATATTAATTACTTTAATTTACTTTATCTTTTAATAAACTATTTTAACCAAATTCTTCTCCCTAGCAAGGCTATAAAGTTAAATAATGTTAGAGACTCTAAATATTTTATTAAAAATTTTATCAAATGTCTTATATGGGTGTGGAATGTGAATCCTATATGGGTTCCACACTCATATAAGACATTTGATAAAATTTTTAGTAAAATTTTTCAGACCTCTAACATTTTTGTTAATCTAATGGGAAAAGAAGCAGGGAGAGAGAGCCGTGTGGCCCAATTTTCTTACGTGGCATATTTTAGTTAGTTTCACGGGACAGCCGTGTGTAACGTGAACTCTTTTATTTTTATTTTTTTTCAATTTTCATTATTTAACATAATTTATAAACCTGTATTTTTTTTTTGTCTTTTTATTTTTTTCAAATCAAATTACTTCTCTATTTTTATTTTTTTTTTAAAACCATAAAGTAATAAAATCGTCCGTAAATAGATTTAAACTTAACTCGATTCAATTCGTTAATTTTTTTTATTTTTTAACGTTCGAGATTGAACTCGTTAAATTTTTAATAAATAAATCTAAATATATTAAAACTCGACTCATTATTTATTAGGGAAAATCGGTCTAGAGTCCCTCTTCCACTTTTCGTAATGAAAGAAGTCCACAAAATTATTTTTTGATGTCTAAAGTCCTAAACATATATCAGACAAATTTCAGTCAAACCCATTGACACCCCTCTCTCTCTCTGTCCAACCACGACGTGGATCCAAGTTGTGAAGCACTGCGCCGCCGTGCTCTTCCCCGGCGAACGCAAGCTCTGCGATTCCCCTGAGGTTTCTGACAAATACAGGGACCTCCCCTGTAGTTTCAATAATTACACTAACTTCCCCTACTTTACCTGACATTGTACAGATTCCCCCAATCCGTCAATTATACATAAACGACGTTACTTTTGTATACAAATGACCATATTACCCTTTTATTTGAGCATAAAAAGACGAAAATACCCTTTGATTATAGTATTCAACTTTGTTTTTAATTTTAATTTTAATTTTTTTGTTCTCTCTCATCTCATCTCATCCCCCAATCCCAACTTCACTCTGGTTTCCAATTGCAACAGCAGTGTAATCTGAATTCTCTAAATCACTCCCCAGATGTCCCTCATCTTCCTCCTCTTTCTCTCTCTACAACTCCACCTCTCTCTTCTCTCCTCTTCCTCCTCCACCACTGCTCCTGCCGCCCGCCACCTCCACACCACGGCCTCATCATGTCCTCTTGATTTCAACGTCCTTCGCCGACTCATTCAATCCTCAAATCGTCCAAAACTCGACTCCGATTCCGTCTCTTGTCACTACATCAAGGTCGGTCTCCGACTCATTCAGTCCGATTATCTCCGAATCACCAACAATTTTCTTCATCCGATTGACTCCACCGAGTCTTGTTGGGTTTCATACCAAACCCTAATAAACGATTTCTTCCCCAATTTCAATGATATTCGCAAATCTGCAGTTTCCAGGCCTCTTGGATCGCCGAAGGTTGTATGAACATCACTACTCTTGATGCATTCGAAGGCAATGTTTCGAAATCGGCGTTAGACGATGCCGTGAAGGCGTGTAATCAATCTCTTGGTAATGGTTGGCCGTGCGCTTCTTGCACCACCAATCTCTCGAGCCTCCAGCCTTCGCGTACCCTTCGATTTACGTCGCTGTGTTTATCAATCGTTTCGGCCCAACCGATGAAGATACTACCAACTGTCTGTTTGGTTTTGATTTTTCTGATTTGAGCAATTCGAATGGTAGAGTTAGAACCATTGTGATTTGTGTAGTTGTGATAGGTTGTGGTTTTGTTTTGTTTCTGGGTTGTGGTGGGTTTTGGATTTTACGGCGAAAACGCGAGAAAATTAGGGAGAGAAGTAAGGTTGATCATGAGAGAGAAACTAATTTAGCTTTTGGAATGAATTCAATCAATGAAAGTACTACTTTAGTTAGGTACACATTTGAGGAGACATTTTTGAAGATTTATGAGAGAGTGAGAGAGAGAGAGAGAGAGATGGTAATGGAGTTAGCAATCACAAAATGAAGGCAAAGGAAACTATCCTCCATTTTCTCAGAAAATACACTATTCCGGACATAGATGGGTTGAGGACACTTGAGGGCATTATAGACATTTTAATGTTTGGCTTTGATGACATCAGCTTTTTCTGTGAAATAAATAAACGGAAGTCAACAGAAGGGGGAATCTTGACATTGTCAGGTAAAGCAGGGGAGGTTATTGTAATTATTCAAACTACAGGGGAGGTCCCTGTATTTGTCAGTAACCTCAGGAGAGGTAAATGTAATTTACCCAAAAAAAATGAAAATCCAACCAATGAGAGAGAGAGGGGGTCAAAGGAGGTGGAAAAAAAGGAAGTCTTAGACATTTTTAATTTAAAAAATATAAATATAAATAATAATAATAATTAACTATACACAATGATATATATTATTATTATTTTAGTAAAACATTGACTTTTTTTAATATATTTATATATATTATTGTATAATCAAAATTTTAATTGTAACTTTAATCTCATATATAAATATGAATTTATAATTTTTTGATTCGTTAAGATTCGTGAACGCTTAAACTCGAATCAAACTTAAATCAACTCAACTAATCTTAACTCGATTCAAATTCAATTCGTGAAATTTTTATTGGATTTAAACTTAAACCCGTTAAAGGGGTTGTTTAGAGTGTCTTAAATAAGTGTACTTCTTGTTTTTTTGGACTAAAAAATTGAGGAAGAAAATATAGATGTTTGGGTTAACTTTTTGACTTTTTATAAAAAAAATGTGTAATAAAAAATTATAAAAAATAATTTGTAGGAAAAAATTAAGATTGAGAGTTGTGCAGCCGTAATTGTTAACTTTTGATGAATAATATTAAAATTTTAACTTTTTAATTTTTTAATTTTTTAATTTTTTTTTTTTTAACATGTCAAACTTGCCAAAGTCTCAATAATGAAATCAAAACCTATAAATTTCAACTCTGCTCTGCTCTGCTGGATTCATTTACAACCTTTTATTTTTTTACGCATTTTCATAGAAAGTCAAAAATCCCAAACACCCTCTTAATCACCCACCAAATCTATTTTCGTCTCCTTTCCTTCAGTTGCCAAACGCACTGTTAACAACTGTGGTGGAGGGTGTTGGACGGGGTTTGAGAGTCTCAAAACGAGCTTAGGAATTTCCAACGATAAAAGAGAGAGAGAGAGATGGGCTGCTTATGCAGACCCTTCTCGCCGCCGCATTTCCCTTCACCACCACCACCCACCACCACTCTTTTATTGTCACTGCGCCCCAACTCCACCATTTTCTCCTCCTCCGCCCCCGACCACCGTGACCGTCGCTCTTCTCTCTCTCTCCATTCTAATATTACCCCAAAACGTCATTTTTCATCTACCTCTTCCTTCCTCATAAACCCTAATCTTTCTCTCTATCCTCTCCTTCCTCTCTCTCCCCTACCATACGGCGGCGCCGGCAACAACAACAACAACAACCATGGTGGTGGCGGCAGTGGCGGCGGTGATTGGAGCAATTCCTTCGATCCCGACGAGTGGCCGCGAAAGGATTCTACTGATGTTCTCATATTCCTCTGCTCTCGTGCGTTTGCGAATGACGATGCAACAATTAGCTCTTCGCACAAGCACTTGTTCTTCTTCTTTGTGTCTTTGTTGGGTAGTTTTGGCTACTTCCAATTGGCTTCGGCTCAAGCAAGAACTAGCACTACTGCTGCCGATGAAAAGGAACAAGTATCTTTTGTTTGGGAAGTGAAGGGAGGGAAATGGATCAAACTCATCGCTGACTATTTTAACGATGCATTTGTTGTTTCAAATGGAAAAAATTCATCGTCTTTGTCATCAATTGGTGGTAATGATGCTGAGCAATCATTCGCTTTTCGGGTTGGCTCCGATTTGTGGATGCAATGCAGGAATTTATGCGTGCGTTTGATGCTCCCCGAAGGTTTTCCTCACAGTGTCACCAGCGATTACTTGGAGTACTCTCTTTGGAGAGGAGTTCAAGGTGTTGCAGCCCAAATTAGTGGCGTCCTTGCCACCCAGGTACTTGTTATTTTTCAAATTTTTTCTTAGGTACTCGTGAGAATTAGATGTTTGACAAAATGCCAAGCTCGAATAATCTAAATAAAAACCCAGATAAATATTTTGTGTAGTTGATTCTTGCTTTGATTGGATTGTTTTGTTTTTTCTCTCTTGTTGTGACGTTATTGTACTATGTTGATGTAGTCTTTACTTTATGCTGTTGGGTTGGGAAAAGGGGCCATTCCAACTGCAGCGGCTGTGAATTGGGTACTCAAGGATGGAATTGGTTATCTCAGCAAAATCCTGTTGTCAAAGTATGGTCGCCATTTTGATGTCAATCCAAAGGGATGGAGATTATTTGCTGACTTGTTGGAAAATGCTGCATATGGAATGGAGATTGTAACTCCTGCATTTCCTCATCTCTTTGTTCTAATCGGTGCTGCTGCTGGAGCTGGACGATCAGCTGCTGCACTGATCCAGGTAAGTTGGAAAGTTTTGGTCTGGTCTGAGGATCATTTACACTGTTTTTTCTTCTTCATCTACTAATGGCTGGTAAGTATAAAAATGATCTTTTGATCATATGGATCTCAGTGACGCCCTCACAAGGAAATGGAAAATGAAAACATGTCATTTAGAAGAGTATCATGTTCTTGCTTCACAGTGTGTTTCTAATGTCTTAGTCATCTTATAATGCATGCCCTACACAAATGTTGGGGATTGTGATTTTTTATTTTTTTATTTTTTTCTGATCAACAGCAACAAATTTTTTTGATAAATCAAAAAGAGACGAGGATGAGGCATCCTCTACAAATAAGAAAAAAAAGGGAAGAAACTACATAACCAAACACAAAGACTGCATCCACAAAACTACTACATGTCACACACCGACACCCAATCCCTAGCTAACAAAAACAGTGGAATTCCTTTAAAGGGGATTGTGACTTTGACTCTCTGCTTGCATGATTTATTCATAATAACTAATCACTAGAGCTTTGTATAATGAAAGGTTTCTCTTGAGCATAATTTCATTATATGTGTATGTGGTTGAATGAAGGGGTATTACATAATGTAGAACAAAGCACCTTGGCTCCCCCTTGCTGAGACTGGGGAAACTGTGGACATGACTGAAGGCCCTTGCGTAGTATAGAACATGCACTTAAGACATGCCATGCTGTCTGGGGCATTTATTGGGTCTGACTGTGCATTTGACAACTATGTTAACAGACTTTAGTTTGTTAAAAAGCGTTAATGCGTATGTGTTTGCACCCATGTGTTTTAGTATTCTGGATTGAGGCAGTGTTAACTTGGTTTATTATTATTTTTCTCAAGTATGCCTTCTGTTGAATAAATCTTTCACAACTTCAGCATTTAAACATGTAGCTAATGTTCCATGTGTGGGATTTAACTCTTCCCTTTAACAGGCCGCTACCAGGAGCTGTTTCTATGCTGGCTTTGCGGCTCAGAGGAATTTTGCTGAGGTAAAATAGTTTCTCTCTTGGCTACTAATGTCCGAATATTTTTAATATTAATGTTTTACAAAGCTTGATAGTCTCTTATCCCATTGGTCATCATGTATTTGGTTTCGGTGATCATAAAGTGTGTTTCTGGGTCAACCCTTTGTTGGTGCTTATTTATAATCTTGATCAGTCCTTCTACCTTGGTGGGTGGTTTACCTTTTCTATTCATCTTCTGAAAGGAGTCACTAATGGCAGGTAATTGCAAAGGGTGAAGCTCAGGGAATGGTGAGCAAATCTATTGGTATCATGCTTGGCATAGCATTAGCTAACTGCATACAGTCCTCTACACCTCTTGCTCTTGCTTCTTTTGGTGTGGTAACTTGGATACACATGTACTGCAATCTGAAGTCATATCAATCCATTCAACTAAGGACTCTGAATCCATATCGTGCAAGTACTCCCTTTCTTTATTTATAATTTTAGTTAATGAAATTTGTGGAAATGATATCTGTATTATTGCTCTATTCAGTATGAGCTGTTTTATAAGGCATGTTGACTATATTGGCATATTAGATTTAAAGAATGGGGTTGGTTAGTGATGCTCAGAGGTTTTGAAAGTTTCTAAATTGGAAATACAGATTGGCTTTACTATTTTGATCTGGAACAACAATATTTATGTTGATAGATGTCTATCTCGTATCACGTCATCAAGTATCATTTCTCATAGGTTTTATATTATATATTGGGTTATATAAGGTACACTTAAGTTTTTGATAGAGATTGATTGAAAAAGGAATGAAATAAATAGAATACATATTACTTGGAAATTAAATACATCACAACTAATGATAATTTACATGACAATTTAAGCACCGATTATATTTATCTCTAATACTGCATTTCTCTCTTCCCGTTGCCAGTTTCTTCTTGCTTTGTTTTGAGTTGAAACTACTCTCTTCTGAAAATTAATAACTACATAACTAGTAAGGATTAATTTTTTTAATGTATGATTGCTCAATGGTCATTAATCAATTAATCTTGTAAAAACGGGGTAGTTCCTCTGTACTGATTAATTTATTCTAGTAAAAAATGTATGCTGTCATTATTTTCCTTTCTCTTTTTTCTTTTTTTTTTTTTTGGTGATTATATAGTACTGTGGAAGCTTTGTGAAATACCATTTAGCTGAAAATGCGGTCATTGGTTTTAATGTTGATGAGGGGAGTAGCATGTGCTATGCATCTGTGCCTTATCTCAATATAATCTGGCCCTCTTATCCTTCTCCTAGTTTGTTTTGCTAAATGGGATGGATTAAGTTTCTTGCATTTCGTTATGAATGTACTTTTTGATTTCTTTCACAGGTTTGGTCTTCAGTGAATATTTGCTTAGTGGTCTAGTTCCTTCAATTAAAGAGGTTAATGATGAGGAACCACTTTTTCCAGCTGTACCAATTCTTAATGTGAATCCTGCACGCAAAGTAAGTAGCTCTTTTTTTTTTTTTTTTGGTGTGTGTGATTTATAAATCTTTCTTACAAAGATAAGAACTTAGGGGACATCGAATAGTGACTAAGAATATAATGCTTGATTGTTCCTAGGATGCACATGGGGTCTTTCTAAAACAACTGCATGTTGTTTGAGACGAATCATTCACATGGTTGCTACCTTGCTGCACTGGATCATATGACAAACACCTTTTTTTTTTCGTCTTTTCCTTTCTCCATTTAAGTTAGAATAACTTGTTCTAGAGCCTTCATTTATTTTTGGATTTTGTACAGTCTGTTGTACTGCTACCGCATGCCAACCCTCTTGGTACGAACTACAAATCATGCATAGCAGCCCCACATTTGCTCAAATATTTCTTGAAAGCTTTATTTGTTTTTTGCCTTCTAGTTGCTTAGTTTGATCCAGTACTATCTTGAATTTTCATTGCTATTTTCTGCCTGTTCACTTTCAAATTGCTCTCAACTAGTTCTCATTGTGCATCAATAAAGAATACCTTCCTGGGGGTTTCCATTCCCTTGTTACACTTTTACGATAATTAAGTTGCATTCCATTCTGGGTTTTTCTTCTTCTTCTCTCTTTTTTTTTCTTGGTTTTGGTTTTGGTTTGGTGCTAAAGTTTCTATGTTCAAGCATTCAAGCCCAGTAGCCACCTACAGAATGGAGTTGATTACCTGCATGATCATGATTGACTTAAAAAAACCAATCATTAGTTGTTGATAGATTTAACTTTTTTGAGTTACTATTTCATCGTATTCACCAATGTTGCTAACCATCTTTCAGTTTCATTTCAATTTCTTCTGAATAACCTTTACAACACTGACATTCTCAAGATTCATATAAAAAAAATTGTTGGATAATTCTAAGATTTCAAATGTAACCACAGATATGTCTCTTTACTTTTTTTTCTAAATTTTGGACATGTAATTGATTTGTAACAATTTCCATAAGAAGCAATGTACATTTATATATCAGAAAAGAAAAAGTATGACAAAGTGAAAAAATTGATGCATCTAGTAAGGATTATATCAATTCAATAGGCAAATTGATCTCAAGGGGAATTATGTGCCATGTCATTTTGCTTTATGCTATCAGAACCTTTGCAACCACTTTAGATGTGGTGCAAGAATCAGTGTGATGTGCATTTGATGTGCATGGGTCAGAGATGTATAAGACAAGGTATTGAATAATATAGACATCCAGGAACATGTTTTTATTCCAGTGTACAGTCTGATTCATTGATATTAAATGAAGAATAAAAACATGGGAAAATTTTTCTGCTGATTCTTATGCATTGTGGTTTTTCCTTCCCAGGCACAATTAGAAGTACTGTCTGCAGAAGCCATGGATGCAGCTGCTAATATCGAGGGTCGGCTGCAGCTGGGGTCCAAACTCTCTGATGTTGTTAAAAGTGAGGATGATGCACTTGCATTGTTTGACCTCTTCAGAGATGAAGGCTATATTTTGACCGAGCATGAGCAAAGATTTTGTGTACGTACAACCTTACCTTGGTTCCCATCATGCATGCCAATTTTTTTGGGTTGTTTCTTCTTCTGATGGTGTTTATATCTTTTATTGGTTTTGAGCTTCTTCTTCTTCTTAGCGTCAAAATTAGAAAGCCAGTAAAATCAACAAGTTTAATACCTTCAGCCTAAAGACGTATTTTTTCTATTCAAAATTGTGGTACCTTGCATTGCATCTGCCCATGGTTAGTAAATAAATGACAAAAACCTCAGGGTGTTAATGAAGATTATTCTCTCATTGTTTTGTTATTCTTTTACCTGCTTTCTTTTGAAGGTGATTTTTGTGTTGGAGAAACTTTGATAGGAATTGCAAAACTCAATTAAATTGTGTTTTTGGTTGAAATTTGGCCTGGATCAGGTAATACTCAAAGAAAGTTCCTTGCCACAAGACATGCTCAAGTCATTGTTCCATGTCAGTTATCTGTATTGGTTAGAGAAAAACGCAGGAATCAAAACAAGGAGCATGGTTGATGACTGCAGACCAGGGGGGAAGCTGCAAATATCTCTGGAGTACATTCAAAGGGAATTCAACCATGTCAAAAATGATGGGCAACTAGCCGGTTGGGCGACTGATGGTCTCATCGCAAGGCCTTTGCCTAACAGAATCCGTCCTGGTTGTGCTTCCTCTGATGTGGAATGCTAACATTATACACAGAAGGTGGCCATTCCCGAGCAACAAATGAGGGAAGAAAATGCCTTCAATCATAATAGGACTGCTTGTACCTGTCTGCTACGGTACAACCTCTTTGAGCCACCTAGTCCATGCTGCGGAGAGTTGTGCCATGGAGTTTTGTCTCGAGGGGAAGATGGAATGTAGAAGTTGACATCATGGAAAGGCTAGATAGTGTTGAGTATTGTCAATATAATTTATCCAACGTTGGTGAATCGCACCTCCCTGAAGATGTTGACAGATGATTGAAAGGTGCTGTTGGGCTGGGACTTGGCGGAGCATTGCATTTTGTTTCAGAAATGATTTGCTGCTAAATTTCAGAACAGCATCCATTCATTTTGATATTGATTGGTGTTTGTCTTAGATTATAGAAAAAGTATGACATTGAATTTTGATAGTTGTTGCCATTCATTGCTGTCCTGAAATGTTGTAACATATAAACCAGTTACCAAATAGGGCATTCTATAGGGCGCCTCCATTTACACACCACCTTTCATCTCAAAGCACACCATTAATTAGGTCTCGTTTGGGAATATGTTAATTTAGTAACTTTTTGGCTATTTGGCTAAAATATGAGCTAAAAAAAATAGTATGTTTGAGATGATTTTTTGACTTTTTACGAAAATATGTGCAAAAAGTAGAGAGAAAAGAGAATCTTTGATTTTTTGGTATGGATTGTTGGTTTTTTTACTTTTTGGCTAAACTGGTCTGTTGTCAAACGAGGCCTTAGTTTCTTTTTTATTACAATATTAACTTAATGTAAAATGATCACAAAGGACAAAAAGACTATGCTATACACTTCATGTAAAATTATCATAAAGGATAACAATAAATACAATACACACCTCTCTTCTAAAATGTTGTTTACGGATCTTCTCTTTTAAGAATCCAAAAACCCTTAAAGAAACAATAAAAAATATACGTATTATTGAAGATTTTGATTGGAGTGAATGATGGATGCATCTGATAATATTGGTTTGGAATAATGGAGCAAGGAAAATGTTAGTTTTTCATTTTTTTTTTCCATTTTCATGTACTTGCTAAGTGGTAAACTGTAACAATGTACTCATGTTTGGTTATCTACAACCGAATAAGTTTTAATTGTTCGATTTTTTAGTATCGAACATAGTGCACATGTTCGGTTAATAAGTTCCGAAATTATAACATTTGTTCGGTTTTCAACAGGCGAACTTTTGAACTTAGCTCGACTCTACATTTCCAAACACTTATAATAATTTTTTTTTTTTTTGGTTTTTCCAAAACTGTGCATCCATGGAGGGGGTCGTGAACCAAAGGAGAATGAAGTGAAATCGCCTTTAACACGAATGGAGATCGATTTAAACTAGTTCTGAAACCTTTGAGATGATAATGAAACAGAGAATAGAAGGGGACATTGTGTGTGTTTTTGAAGTGGAGGTGTAGAATATGGAAGATTAAAGATTATGGATGGGGTATGTGAGTGAGTAAGGTTAAAGATGAAAAATTGTGGATAAGGTGTGCGAATAAGGGTAAAGATGGAAGATTGTAGTGTGTATTGAGCAAATTTCTTATTTATCAAATTACTAAAGGTGTGCATTGAATAGTGTTGTATCTTGAGATGAAAAGTGGTGTGTAAATAGAGGCACCCCATCGGGCTTGTTTGGTTTGTATTTGATAAACATGTTTTGAGATAAAAAGTACGAAAATTTGTTTGGTTTTGTTTTTTTTCAAAAGATGTTTTGAAAAATTATTTTGAGAGAGAATTTTGAAAAAAGTGATTGATTTGATGTGTATGAGAGAGAGATTTGTTTGGAAAACTTGTAAACCAAACAAGTTTTGGAAAAAAAATTTGAGAAAATTTGTTCAATTTGATTACTTTTAAAAACTTATTTGTAGAGAATTTTTCCTAAAATTTTTTGAGAAACACAAACCAAACAAGCCGTATTCATTATTTGCCCTTCTTGACTTAAGCATGCCTTTGCATGGTCCCCTTTCTAGACAAAACCTGCTTTAGATTGGTAATGCTTTTATGGTCTATGGTCGGGATTTTGCTTAGGCAGATTGTGGATGATGAAAACAAGTAGATTTGACCAATCTGAAATAATACAACAAAAACTATTAAGAAAAGCAGAGCAAATTTTGGATTATAGACTTGAACTTGATCGAATTCATGTCCACTTTGTGAAAGTATATTAGTATCTTTGTCATTTTTTTTTTTTTGTGTGGTTCTTCCTTTTTTTTCTTTTTTCATGTCTTTAGAAATGAAAACAATGGAAAGTTCAAAAACAATTATGGTTTTTATTTGTGTGAAAATTGTTTTTGAAGAAATAATTTTTTTTCTTACTTTTAAAAATAGTTTGTCAAATAATATTTTATTTATTTATTTTATTTTTTTGCATGAGTTTTCATTTTTTCAATTTTGAGAATAAAAAAAAAATGAAAACAATTTGCTTTATTCTTTATGCAACAAAATGAAGCTTCTGTTTGATTTAGTTTTTGAAAAAATTTTTGAGTTTTGAATTGTATTTTGAAAGATAAATCGTTGAAAAGGGTTTTGAAAATTTACGGTAATGTTACGTAGCTCGAAAGGTGGAGTTCAAAATTGGCTCGAATCAGAAGCAGAGAAGGAGAAGAAAAGGAAGGAGGAGGAGGAGGAGGAAGATGAGGGACTGGAGGGGGCCCAACAAATGGGGTTGGAGGCGGGGGCGGGGGGCGGAGGCGAGGCAGAGCCGACGAGCAGCGACGGCGAGCGACGAGGCGATGAGCAGCGACGATCCTCGGCGGCAGCGGTGGTGCTGGCTCTTCTCCTCTCTTCTTCCTCTCTTCTCTCCCTCTTTCTCCTCTGTCTCTTCTTCCTCTCTTCTCTCCCTCTTTGAGACAATTCGAGCCAACCAATTCGAGCTATGGCTCATTTCCGGAAAATTTATTCAATTATGAATTTTGAAATGATTTGAAAAAAAAAAAATTTAAATTTTATAATTCAATAGCACCTGCATGAATCCTGATATGATTGACAGAAGAAAATACTGTAGTTGGAAATCTTTCAAGAATTGTAGTACACAAAGTTCCATAGATTTAATCTCATTCTGTTCTTGAGCGAATGAAGTAATAAAGCAAGCAGAACTGTGGTAATGGTAGCAGACACCATGAAAGAAGAGATTGAAAAGCTCTGGGAAGAAGTAAGAGACCTAAGCCTAGGAACCACCACCGCCGGAGTAGAACGCCTCCACTCACCACCAACCCCACTCCAATTCCTCCGCCACTTCGTCTCCCCAAACAAACCCTGCCTCATCTCCAACGCCACCCTCCACTGGCCCGCCACCACCCTCTGGTCCTCCTCCGACGCCCACCTCCTCCGCTCCCTCTCTTCCGCCACCGTCTCCCTCCACCTCACCCCCACCGGCCGCGCCGACTCCCTCTCCCCCCACCCCTCCATTCCCTCCTCCCTCTGCTTCGCCTCCGCTTCTATCTCCTCCATGCCCTTCCCTCTCGCTCTTCAATCCATCTATTCTTCCGATTTGGATTCGAATTTCGTCGCCTATGCTCAGCAACAGAACGATTGCTTTCGATCCGAGTACTCTGCTCTTGCCGAGGATTGCGAATCTCACATTCCTTGGGCTACAGAAGCCCTAGGTTGCTTCCCTGAGGCTGTGAATCTCTGGATTGGAAACCACCTCTCTGAGACTTCCTTCCACAAAGATCATTACGAGAATCTCTACGCCGTTGTCACCGGAGAGAAGCATTTTCTTCTCCTTCCGCCTACTGATGTTCATCGCATGTACATTCGTAACTACCCTGCAGCTCACTACTCCTACCACAAGGTCATTACTCTCTAAAATTTCATCAATTTTGAGTAAAAATATGATTGTTGGGAAATTTGGTGAAGGATTTGGTTAATCCTTAATTTGGTTAAAATTTTGCGTCTTTCTTGATTTGATTTGATTTGATACCAGTTCGATGAAATAATTAGAGCTCACTTTTAGCTCTTTATTTATAAAATTTCAATTTGATGCAAAAATTCGTAAATGATTGGAGAGCTCTTATATATACATATATATGGATTGGTTTGTTCATGAACATTGTTGGTAAGACTTAGGTTATGATTTGCAGGATACTGGAGAGTTCAAATTGGAGCTTGAGGATCCGGTGAGGTATGTGCCTTGGTGCAGTGTGGATCCTTACCCTTCACCGGAGAATAAAGAGAGAGAAATGTCAAAATTTCCTCTGTATTTTGATGGACCGAAGCCGTTTGAGGTCACGGTTAAGGCTGGGGAAATTCTTTACTTGTAAGCTATACTCTTCTTTTGTTGTTTTGGGTGTTTTCAACTGCTTATATGAAATTTGGATTTGTCTATCGAGTTTGAACTTTGGTCTCTAGTAATGATACTGTAAATCAAAGATGATAAATTTATTGAATGTGTTTCCAAACAAATTTTTGAGAAGATTTCTAAAAAGAATTAGGCTTTTTGGATGAAAGTACAGTGGATTGAAATTTTGCAACATAACGATACATAAGTTGGGGATTTCCAAAGGGACATCCCTTGACAGTTTCTCTTATGGTGCATTGATACAATTGCCAATGAGTGTCATTTAATTTGAAATTTCAATTTTATTTTGGTCTGTCATTCGAAATTGTACTTGGGTTATTTGCCTTTCTAACGAGCTTGGAATTGTCAAAGAGCAATAATGTTGGGTTAAGTAGCCTAGTTTTGAAAAGTGGTCGCAAGTAGTTCTAGCTTTCCTTCAGAAATTGCAATAAAAGTGAGTGATAGTTTCTAGAACCATGTGAACTAGCTTCTTTAAGTATTTTCTTGACTAGGAAAGAATCAATTTTTTTTCATGATGTGGTGATTTGATACTTTGTGAAGTACCATTTCAGGTTGTATTTTTGATAGAAGATTCTCTTCTGGATGCCTTGTTCGCCGGTCAGGAATAATTGTTGACTGAACTTTAGTTCGGGAGGAGTCACCAAAAGAACCTGCCACCGAAGTTTGAGAGCATTAGACTTTTAGTGAATTTAGGTTGCCACCGCAGTGGTTTGTTAAGAGCATCATCATGCTTACAGTGTTGGTCCACGTATTTGTTCCCAAGAGTCACACGAGTTACTTGGCTAGGTCTGAAGGACCAAACTGTTTCTTGGTCTGGTTATTTGTTCCCCAGGGTCATATGAGTTACTTGGGTAGTTCCTAATGACAAAACTAATCCAAAGAATGTCAAATTACCTTGGGTACCCGTGCTTGCGTGCACACACACACAGCACAATCTACATAGGATGATCGGCTTGAATGTATAGATCATCAGCAAAAAAGATTAGATCGTAAGAAGTTGCTATGAAATTTAGAAGCACTTTCAAAATGGTACATTTATATCACTGACCCTCCGCCCACTATATTGAAATATGATGCTTGGGATGTCAAGGAAAAAGTTTAATCTCTGCTTAATGTCTGGGCTTAAAAAATTTGGAATATGTGGGGAATTACCTCCTATGAGCTTTTTGTATTTTTATTCCTATTGTAAAATGTCCTACTTATTGCTGAACAGATTTTTAGTGATAATTAGTTAAGATGATGCTGAATTGCTGGAGTTTATGCAGGCCAAGTATGTGGTTTCATCATGTTAGACAAAGTCCAGACAGCAGAGGACGCACTATCGCAGTGAACTATTGTAATTATGACTTTGACACTTTTTCCTTTTTCTTACTTTGACTTAAAAAAAGGAGTATAAGAATCTAAAGCACATTTATCTTGCAGGGTATGATATGCAGTTCGATATAAAATATGCTTACTTCAACTTCTTACAATCAATTCCTCACCCATCATCTCATGGTCTGACACCGCATGAAATGGGATTTGTTGGATCATCCTCAGATACATCTATTTGCTATTCAGGAGATGAACCAGATATCAATGCTATGGAGAGGGTGAAATGTGACTGAAAACAGAGGTGACAGTGACAAAGAATGAATAATGATGTGTTAGTGAGGGTGGTTTGATCTTTGAGGAGCTCTTCAGTGAGAAGATGCAGAGTTTAGATCAGAGAAAAAGCAGGAACATCTTCTATGTTCGCATCATTGAATTTTCCAACAAGTTTTGGGGAATTTTGCCTGCTGGTTGAAGATATGGTGACAGAGCTATCTCTTAGTAAATTTTCTCAGTAGGTTGGGTCTCTTGAAATATTTTTTTGTAGAGCTCTTGTTGTCGGTGGGCGAGGCTGCTGCTAAAGTAGGTTCAGTGCAGGAGGCTCCCGCTAAAGAATGGTTTGAGAAGAGCCAGATGTAGTGATGTTCTCTGGTGCACCAAAAGTGAGATATGTTTTGATTGGAAATTGGTGGTTTTATTTTCACTTTGTGACTTCTATTTTTATTTATTTATTTATTTATCTTAAATGAAGAACCAAATAGAAGAAAAACAGGGAATAATAACAAGATTAATGATTTGTTCACCGAAATTGTTTAGCCTAAATTTGCCTGAATGAGTTTCTTTCTAGAAAGAGACTTGCGCACGGGAGTTTCTTTTCGGAAAGAAACTCGTTTGGACGAATTTTGATTAAACAAATTCGGTGAATGTAGCGGTACTGTAATAACAATACACATATCAGATTGTTTGGTCTTAGGGTTCGTTTGGGATGTAAGTTGGTTTTTTGATTTTATGACTATTTTAGCCTGGGTTAAAAAATCTCGTTTGGAATATGTTTTTTAGTTTTTTTAACTTTTGTGAGAAAAAAAAAAAGATTATAAATTAGATGTGAAATTTTATCTTAATTGACTAAAATAATTTATTTTATCCTATATGACTATTTTAACCCAAATAATATCCCAAACGGAACCCTATTAATCACATAACCCTGTAATATCAATTTTCAACAAAATTTATGGTCAATGATTGGATCACAATGGCCATCACATTATATTCACACTCCTTTTTATTTTTTTGATAAGATCAAAACTTATTTCTCAGTTGCTTGTTTGCCATTCTAGATCCACATTGGAGATTAGACACCACGAGTTCACTCTTACAAAATGGTTATATAGGATATATATATCCACAATGATGTTATTTTTAAAATTAGCAATGTTATACCAATCATAATTTTTATTATTTAAAAATAAAATATTTGTTATTATGATTTACTATAATCCATCTGTACAGTGTATATATATATATATATATTTCCAACAGTAACCTCTCTCTCACTCTCAACTGGAGTTTTTTAAGCTAATCAATGAGATGCTCAACCGAGTTAAAACTAATGGAACTCGCATCACCTCATGGATACCAAGCTCTGTGCTACGCCAATCCTTCTTCGAACAACTACTACACAAAATCCAATACTTCTTACCATGGTTACTTCAACGTAGCAATCAGCATAGCTAACCATTCTAAACCCATCTTCCCAACACAAATTCACTTGCCTCTCCACAGACCCAATCACCACCTACCGCCACCGCCACTGCCACTGCCACTGCCACCGCCCAAAAAGTGGAAGAGCACCACCACCACCACCACAACAACGTCGGACGTTTTGCGTTTGATGGATGGACTCGGCCTTCCCATACCCATAGACATCTACACATCTCTCCTCAAAGAATGCATCACCACCCGGGACCCCGCCGGAGCTCTTGATTTGATTGCCCACATCAACCGGAGCGGCCTCCGACCTGGGTTGCTGTTCTTTAACCGAATCCTGTTGATGTATGTCTCGTGCGGGCTCGTCGACAATGCCCGCCATGTGTTCGACAAAATGCCCACAAAGGATTGTAATTCTTGGGCGGCAATGATTGCCGGTTACATGGACAATGATAACTACGAAGAAGTGATAAATTTGTTCGTAGAAATGCGATGCAGTCTCCAATACCATCAAATCAATGCTGACATGCTTGGTTTCCCCGAATCTTGGATCATTGTGTGCATTTTAAAGGCGTGTGTTCAGACAATGAATTTGGGACTTGGGAGACAAATTCATGGGTGGTTATCGAAGATTGGTTATTCCAAGGACTTGTTTTTAAGTAGCTCGTTGATTAACTTGTATGGGAAATTCGGATGTCTTGAAGGGGTGGACTCGGTTTTCGATCATATGGCTTGTCGGAACACTGTGGTTTGGACGGCTAAAATTGTTAATAAATGTAGAGAAGAGCAATATGATGAGGTTCTTAATGTGTTTAAGGAGATGGGAAGGGAAGGAGTGAAGAAGAACGGTTTCACGTTTTCTAGTGTTCTGAGAGCGTGTGGGAAGATGAAGGATGATGGGCTTTGTGGCCGGCAGGTGCATGCCAATGCAATCAAACTAGGATTGGAATCCAATGATTTTGTGCAGTGTGGGTTGGTTGACATGTATGCGAAATGTGGATTACTAAAGCACGCAAGAGTGGTGTTTGAGATGGATGGAGAGGAGAGAAATGCTGCGTGTTGGAATGCCATGCTCATGGGTTACATACAGCACGGATGTTGCATTGAGGCCATCAAGATTGTTTACGCGATGAAATCATCTGGCTTGCAACCTCAGGAATCATTGCTCAATGAAGTCAGGTGTACTTGTGGGAGTGGATTTCTTGAGAACTAGAAAGATGGAACTGTGTACATGAATCGATTAACGCCTCCTTACTTGCATATAGTTCTCATCTTTGTATATCAATTCGACAAAGTATAGAGAGGATAGAACTTCTTTCCTTGCTAGTACCAAACTTTTGTGTTCCAGGACAGACTTCAAGACATCATGAGCACACAAATACAGTGACATTTCATGTTCCCATTTCGCAGTTTGATTTCTGGTCTGGAGTTGGGAAACACCGGTGGATCACTATTTGTGTGTTTGGCTAAGTATGGAAATTATTCAATAGTAACACTGGCTTGCGTGAAGCTACAGATATGTTCAGGTCGGCTCCATCCATTCTGTTAATGCACTTTCTGCCCAAGATTATCGTTATCCCTTGTGTGACATATATAGCTGCTGGTGTATATTTGCACTAGCTGTATTTGAAATTACATTTTTTCACTTTAAAGAACTTATAATTCAACTCTTTGTAATTAAAATATTCATTCTCTAATAATATTTCTCTCTTTTAACAACAGCTATAATTTCAGGGTAGACAAATACTTGTTGATCATGTGGAGAGATTGCGAAGGAGTTGCCAATGCCAGTCTTTAGAAGTTGTAATCTCATGCATTCACGAGATCACATTGCTTTTAAGTCAGTACCATTTCATGTTATGCAAACTTTTGAATCACTCGCCATCATGAAATTTATCATTAGAGTTGTCTATACAATCTAGTGTTTGTACATTTTCTTTTGATCACCTGTGCATAAGGAGGATCTTGTTTGGAGCCAGTTGTTTTCCAGCACTTTTAATATATTTATTTTTTAAATAAAATGTAAGAGACATACCTTTTGTATTAACATCTGTAAGGGACATACAAAACATAAGCTATGATGAATAATATTACATTTAGCTCAAACAGATTATCAGAGAGGAATTGATACCCCAAATATTTGTTCAATCCTCAACCTTTGGTACAGAAGGCTTGGAGAAAATGTGCCCTTCTTGGTATTGAATCTTGTTGAACGATGAGTCTCTCTCAATTAGTAGATCGGTGGGCTGTGAATCGTGAGGTACGATCACCATAGCTGCCTGTTTTTCCCTATAGGATGCCCAAGTGACCAAATAAAGCCCCGCCACGATAAAAAATCCCCCTATAATGCTGTTTCCACGTGTAAATTAGACAAAGGGTGAGTTAGTCCAAAGGGCCAGATTATTTCTTGACAATAGTTGCGACTATTTCATTGTAGAACATCGATGTGAGAAAATATATTTTTGATTAGAGACGACAAAAAATAAATCCAAGCAAAGTAGACAGAAGAATTGAAGTGGTATAAATGGAGCCAAAGTTTTGAGAGCAAACCTTCCCAAATAAATGGGGCTGCCGAGGAAAATCCTTGAGAGGACGGCAGATGCAAAAGGTTGAAGTGGATTATAAAGAGCAACCAAAGCAGGTCCCAGGATCTTATTGGACCATGTCGAGAGTCCATAGTTAAAGGCAGATGCAACAATTCCCTAAAGAAAATACGCGAACAATACTCTTTAAATCTTTTATCTAATATTTCCTTTCAACATGATTCAATGCTCAATCAACTGAAAATTATTCGAAACTGTTTAGTCCAGTAAAAATCGCAGGACAAAAAAGTCACTGAAAAAATAAGGAAATATACACATCCACTGGAACCCATTATTAGTAAACAAGCCAGAATCGGGTGGAATGAGAATCAAGTGCCCAACCCACACTTCTACCAACCACACAGGCCCTAAGTAAGGTTCTTTGAGTTTTGGCTGGCCTAAAGATTAAACAGACAGAGCTTAGGCTCCATTTGATTAGAAAGAAATAAATGATAGAAAGTGAAAATGGTAGAAAGTGAAGTAAAAAATTAAAAAAAAAAGAAAGAAAAAGAAAAGGAAAATGAAATATATTTTCTTGTATAAATTTGATTGAGATAAAAATTTTACAAGAAAATAGGAATTCCAATCACAACAAACTACTTTTATGACAAATTTAACTTTTCTTGTATTTTCATGTGTTTTTTTGCTAGAAACTAGAAACTTAGTTACCATGTTATTATGAGTTATATAAGAAAATTAACTTTATTGTAACTTTCACCATTTTCATGCTAAACAAACTCAGAATTATTTATTTATTTATTTATTTTTTCCATTTCCTTCACTTTCTACCGTTTTCATCCTAACCAAACTGAGCCAAGAGAATCAGTTTGGTAGGTTTGCTATAGTAAGTTCAGCGTAGTTTCTTTCACTTGATTATATTGCTATTTTTCATAAAATTGACCTCCAAAAAAATGATAAACAAGCCACAACACAACCTCTCAGTGTCGGACAAAATCCTACCATAAAATAACCCAGTGATAAAATTGTTTAGCAGAGCTGCTAACTGAAGGTAAACATAACATTTATCGTAAAGATATAGTCCTATCTAAAAAAAGGAAAAGAAAGAAAGAAAGAACAGACAGAGAGATACTTACAGCATAGAGCACAGCTAAAATCTCAGACTGGGTCAAATTCCAGTCTGTTGACTCATTGGTCATAAACAATGCTGTCACTAACATAAGTACAGCACCAAAGAAGTATGAATATGCTGTCACTGATAGGCTAGCTGGATACTTTGCAAGAACTGGAGCCTGAAATTATTTGACAGCAATAGGTTAAACCCCACAACAATAAACCTCAGCTCTAAGCTAATCAATCCCACATATAACTACTACAATATTCGTCACTCCCCAAAATTGAAGAAGCAATTATAATTTCCCACATATAACTCCAACATATTCATTCATCATTCTCCAAAATTGAAGAAGCAAGTATGATTTCCCATGGAAAAAGAAGTTTCTTAATCACATTTACTAGCAATAATCACACGCTTACTACATAATATCCAGATTATGGAAAATTTCAGTTGCAATAACTATTACAAGTTTGAGCCGTCTATTGTTCAGAAAACACAATTAAAGAAATGAATGCAATAAAGATGAATTTAAGATGCAAACAAAAATATTAAAATAATGGTTCATAGATAAAACTGGAAAACAATAATTTGCTATAAGCACACGTATATGGAGGAAAACCTTCTAAATATGTAAAACTATGAACTTCAAATAGTAAACTATTCAGTAGAACATTGCTCGAACAAATGGAACCCCAAAGAAAGGTATTCAAAAGACATCTCATACGCATTTAAAAGAATTTTGCCAGCTGCATCTTAAGGTTCATGCAAATACTTGGGTGAGTGGACAAAAAGAATTTGAAAAACTTACACCAAAAACTAATACCAAACAAACCAAATAGAAAAGCATTAGAAAGCTGACAAATTGGCAATAGATAATTCTACCTATTTGTTTCTTATTTACATCAAGCTATAGCAGCTCATATCTAAAACCATGGAACAGCAAGGAAGCATCTATGAGCATGTAAGACTATATTTTGTTAGGAAAGATTCAAGAGGTGTATGCTAAGAAAAAGACAAGTGAAGATGAAAGAGGACAGGCGAATCAGCAAGGAGAGAAAGTTGGAGTTGGACAATATTGCCTTTATGAGATATGAAGCTGGAGACAGATTTCCAGTGCACTGTGGACAATATTGCCTTTAGAATATTTTATTGTTCAAATAGTCTTACTTTTGTACTATGGGTGTTGCCCATTTGGCACCTCCTTTAATCTAAATTTGGTTTTGAAAAGGAACGTGTTATTCAAAGGTGGCATAAACATCAAGCAAAATGGAAGGAGCTCATTGCAGTCGACCAGAGTGCTAGTTTTTTCAAGGACATTCCTTTTTTGATTCATTCACATAATTGACCACACTCAAAATTTTATTGCAAGATGAACCACATTGTTTCTCATGTTAGAAGTTGTATGAAACAATGGCATATTTAGCCAACAATGTGTCTACCTAGAGCTTTTTCAAATTATATGAAATTTCGTATCCATGTGGGCATAGATAAATTAGGTTATGAAAGGGTGCATGGTAGATACGGTTTTGGTGACAGAAATAAGGCTGGAGAGAGAATCTTAGATTTTGCGTTGGCTTCTGACCTGGTGGTGGCCAATGCTATGTATAAGAAGAGGGAGGAGCATTTGATAACCTTTAAGAGTGGATTAGTTAACAGCCAATAGATTACTTCTTAGTGAGAAAAGTGGACTGCCTAAAATGCAAGGATTGTAAGGTGATTCCTGGAGAGAGTCTGATCTCTCAACATAGGATTTTGGTACTAAATTTATGTTTTAGAGGGCAATACCAAACTAGGAAGGATGGTGGGCGTCGTAAGACGAGATGGTGGGACCTAAAAGGGGATAAATTAGAAATATTTAAGAATAAAATAGATAAGAAAGGTACTTGGGACTTGAAAGATGATGATAACACCATGTGGAACTCGATGGCCAATTGTATGAGAAGAATTTCAAGGGAAGTGCTTGGAGAGTCGAAAGGAACGAAACCCAGCTCTAGGGAAACTTAGTAGTGGAGGGAAGAGGTTCAAGCGGTAGTTAAAGCAAAAAAAGAGTGCTTTAAAAAGTGACAAAAGGATAGAACTGAGGAAAACCTTAAGAGCTATAGATTGGCTAATAAGGAGGTTAAGAAAGTAGTGAGAGAGACTAAGTTGAAAGCTTACGATGACCTATACACTAGACTAGATAGTAAGGAGGGAGAGAAGAGGGTATACAAACTTGCTAAGATACGGGAGAGGAAAAGTGATGTTCAGAATTGTAACAACTATAGAGGAATTAAGCTAATGTGTCATATAATGAAAGTGTGGGAGAGGGTGATGGAACGCCGATTGCGAGATATAACAGAGGTGTCAGAGAATCAATTTGGGTTTATGCCTGGTAGGTTAACAATGGAAGCGATTTATCTTTTGAGGAGAGTTATAGAAAAGTATAAAGAAAAGAAAAGGGACATTCATATGGTGTTTATCGACCTTGAGAAAGCATATGACAGAGTGCCCCGAGATATAATATGGTGGGCGTTAGAGAAGAAAGGGGTGACAAAAGGCTACATTGACGTGATTAGGGACATGTATGAAGGGGTGGTGACCACTATTAGATCGCCAGCTGGAGAAACAAATGAATTTCCTATCACTGTAGGGTTACACCAAGGATCTACCTTAAGTCCTTATCTTTTTGCTTTAGTTATGGACGAGTTGACGATAAATATTCAGGATGACGTGCCATGGTGTATGCTTTTTGCAGATGATATTGTGTTAGTGGATAAGACTGGAGAAGGAGTTAACACAAAATTGGAGATTTGGAGAAAAGCTCTTGAATCTAAAGGATTCCGGATAAGCAGAACTAAGACAGAGTACATAGAGTGTAAATTTAGTAACAGTAACAATGAAAGCAGAAGAGAAATGAAGATTGAGAATCAAGAACTGCCTAAGAGTAAACATTTTCGTTATTTAGGGTCGATTATCACAACAGCGGGAGAGATTGATGCAGATGTGGCCCATAGGATTAAGGCGGGATGGTGTAAGTGGAGAAGTGCGTCTGGGGTATTGTGCGATAAACGAATACCTACTAAACTAAAAGGTAAGTTTCATAGAACGGCTATTAGACCAGCTATGTTGTATGGGACGGAGTCTTGGGCAACCAAGAAACAACATGTAGATAAGATGAGTGTGACTGAGATGAGGATGCTAAGGTGAATGTATGGTAAGACTAGACAAGACAGGATTAGGAATGAGTGTATTTGTGAATGGGTAGGAGTAGCACCGATAGAAGATAAGTTGAGAGAGAATCGTTTGAGATGGTTTGGTCATATGCAACGGATACCAACAGAGGCAGTAGTGAAGAGATGCGATGCTGTAATGGTAGACGGAAGTGTTAGGGGACGAGATAGGCCTAGATTAACGTTGACTAGCGTTATAAATAAAGATATGAATCTATTTAATTTGACTAATAAAATAACCTTTGATAGGGCCGCGTAGAGTAGAAGGATTCATGTAGCCGACCCCATTTGATGGGACTTAAGGTTTGGTTTGGTTTGGTTTGGTTTGGTTTAGTTTGGTTATGAAATTTCGTATCCATTTTCAATTTACCTTACCATTTTCATCAATGTAATATAATAGACACTCAAAATCTATAAAATGAGATAAATTATATTATCAAATACCTGAATGGCTATATAAGCCGCCATGCACACACAGTTCCCTATTAAGCACAACACACCTAGGTGCCACTGATCAAGCCCAAACTTCAAAAAACTAGACATCAACCATACAGCAGGTTCAGGTTGACCCTTGATAATTATTTCACTATTTGCTGCAAATTCTGACTCCGTATACCCAATCAAGGACGGACCTCGAAACAAAACCATCAATAAGGCACCAAAAACACAAACGAGTGTACCTCCAACCTTTGCCTGACCTTCAGTTCTGAGCAAATTCACTGTTTCTGTACTGCATGAACAAGATTTGCAAATCATATTGAAGAAGCAATAGCAATGTAAGAAATTAGTTAACAAAAATATACATACCATATAGACGAATATGTGCATATATGTGTACATATATAGAAAGATAGAAGATAGAAGCAAGGATCACATAATTCAGGCAAGAATAGGTAGTGATCAAACTAACCCCATCATAACAGCCAATATGAATGTAAAGACAGGGATAGCAGGTTGTATGGCTGCAGCATATGTTGGATTTGTGTAACTAAGACCGAGAAGAAACAATAGCTGGTTGCCAAATACCCTATTTCAATATTAAAAAGTGAGACAACCGCACAGATTGATTAGTATTTTGTTAATTCTATCAGACCCTTAATATATAGTATCTAGCAAACTCTACCTAAGAAGTTGAGGAGATTTTTTAACTTACCCAGTCAATCCAAGCAAGAAGAATGACATGAGCAGTTCTTTAGTCATAGGTGGTCTAACTCTTCTGCAAGCATGAAACAAGAAACTGTCGAACACGCTGTACTGTATATATTCATTCATTAAATATAATATAAAAGAACAAATAAGTTGTTGGGTTCATCTCTACAACTGAATATACAGACGGACAAAGAACTGCAGTATATAGCTGATATCCACAAATGTTGGTTAAGCAGCTATATTGATTGCATGTCAATAAGAGGAAAACCATACAAGCTTTAGAGTAACACTGTAGCCAGGAAACAAATAAAAAACATGGACCCAATTCACCTCCGCGTGTATTTTTGTCAATTGGATTAAGATAATGGCAAGCAGAATAGTACCGAAAACTGAACTACAAACAAAGAATTCCCTCAGAAATTTTAGATTCAAATGTGTTGAAGTTTGTGACCTGGACAATCCAACATGATATAGTGTAGACAATAGATTCTGTGTTCGAACATCATCTACTTTTTCAAATTTTGACATATCGCCATATCCACATCCCCATATCGCCATATTCGTATCTGTGCTTCCTAGGCTATCATTGATGACTTAAAAAAGTATATTTGCTGAAATTTTTATTTAAGAATGGTTTTTTGGTTTTGGCTTTAGCTAAGGTCTTGTGATATTCACTGATGAAGAAGAACAAATTGAAGCTATTGACCTTGAAGACTCTTAGTTTTGTAGGAATCTTTCTTCTTTATCAAGTTGTCTTTTGCTTTAAGTTTTATTTTTATACATACTGCATTACTAAAAATTGTTAAAATAATATTTTTTACGAACGTATCCCCGCCGTACCCGTATCTTAGTTTTTCAAATTTTGTTGTATCGCCGTATCGTATCGTATCCGTATCCGTATCCCGTATCCGTATCCGTGCTTCCTAGAGAATAGTACCGAAAACTGAACTACAAACAAAGAATTCCCTCAGAAATTTTAGATTCAAATGTGTTGAAGTTTGTGACCTGGACAATCCAACATGATATAGTGTAGACAATAGATTCTGTGTTCGAACATCATCACCTATCTAATAACTTAAATAGGCACGTGTGTGAGAATAAAAGGAGAAACACTATTTATCATTGATGAAATAAACACTTTTAAATTCACATGCGTGTAGTACATATTTTGGTGAACTATTTCAGAATTCAAAATATAAATAATGAAATTACCTATCTCTCTACGGTTAACAATTGGGGATTCAGCATTAAAATTTCCTCATGTACAAGGAAATGAAATCTCAACAATCAAATTTCTTTATCAGAACATCACCAATAAGCTATGAATCTAAATCCATCCACAAATCCTTTCAGTAGCCACACCCTAGGGTATGGTGAGGGGGAGGTCCAATGTTCGAGCTGATGGAGTAGCGTACTAATGCTATCTTTGTCCAAACAAAAAAAAAAAAAAATCCATTCACAAATCCAAAGAACGCCTGAATTTGTACTTGTTCCACAAAATACCTTTTCATAGATTTATGCAAAGGATACTGAGAGTGAGAGAGAGAGACTGACTTTTTGCGGAGGACGGCGAGGGCGCGGAGATCGCGAAAGACACAGAAGACGAGCAACTAGTTGACACCGACATTGAGAGCGACTTTGGTGATCACATGGATGGCACCCTTCGTAGCCCAGCTGCAACACCACCATTGCCGCATGCGCCTTCCATGCTTCTCCTCCTTCGATATCCCTTGCCGTTATCATCTTATCCATCGATAATTCACACTTCTCTTTCTCTATCTATATCTATATCTAAATCTAAATCTATGTGGCCTGTTTGATTCCGGGATATAAATGGTAAGATTGGATATTATATCCTGTGGGATCTAGATATCCATGTTTGTAATTTTTTGTGGGATCTACATATCTCATGTTTGTAATTTTTTTTCAAAGAGGATATAATATCCCATGGAATTGTATATCCCCAAAAGTGAAAGATATACAATACTACCACCCCCATTATATCGGGAAATTCTATTTCTACATACTAAGTTTCCTTACTCCACACACTTTTTTTAGAATCACAATTTTATCCTTAAGTAAATTACCATTTAGGACAAAACCCTAAATCTACTATACAACAACCACCTCTTTCCTCTCCAGCCGTCGGTGAACCAGACCATTGCTGTCATCACCTTCCCAGCCTCGTCACATCGCTGCTGTTGTCGTCTCCATTCCAACCTGTCACTCAACCGTCACCTTCGTCACTTCAGCGATCATCCTTGACGACCCACCATCTGCGAGCACCACCACCTTCTTCTCTTCTTCTTTTTCTTCTTCTTCTTCTCCAATTTCGGCACTGCACCCCAGCCACCACTGCAACTCGCTCCACTAGTAACGCTATAACCTTCCATCGCGACCTATCCTCCAGATCCAATCCACAGCGCGACCCAACTCTTCAACCTTTCAATCCGAGAGAGAGAGAGAGAGACATAAAGATTGATTTATGTTTCCAAATCTAGGGTTTGAAGAGGAGAAGAAAAAGAAAAGGCTAGGGATTGAAACAGAGGGGAAAAAATGGACGATGGGGGTAAGGGTTGTGGGTGGCTGCAATGCGGGATCCATGGAGTGAGAAATTGAGGAGGAGCTGGGAGTGGAAGATAGAGAGGGGGATGACCTTAACTAGAGAGAGACGACAGCGAAAAAGGGTTTGCAGGGGCGACGCCGGCAGTAGGGAGATGTTAGGGTTAGGGTTAGGGTTAGGGGGTTAGGGTTGGGATAGGTTGGGTTGAGGAAGATGGGGATATTTTTGGAATTTTTGAAAATTGATAGTGTGCATTGAGCAAAATAAGAAAGTCAAAATTGTGTTTGGTGTCTACTGAGTAAATGGTGTATACTAAGGGCATGTTTGATTGGGTGGATTAGAGCAATGGATTGGAATTATTAATCCGTGGGCCCAATTATCTTATGTTTGTTTTAATACATTGGTTTAGGATTATTAATCCAATGGATAATGTAGAAATTTAATGTATAAAAAGAAATAGAGAATTGTATTATTGATTGATATTGATATGTTATATTACAAATCAGAGTTGCTCATTATATAGGAGAGAGTTTGGGTAGTAGGTGAGGTTGGTTTAGGATTATTAATCCAATGGATAATTAATCCAACAAATTTGTAAGATTATTAGTAATGGGGTAGGGGTGAGATTATTAATCCAATAGATATTAATCCAATTGGATAGTGAATACCACACTAATTTAATAGGATTACTAATACTTCACTATTAATCTTGTGAATCAAACATGACTAAAAAGAATTTGTGAGGTGGAAATAGAATTACCCCATTATATTGGGAGCTTCTATTTACACATCCCCCTTCCCCTCTTTGCACACACTTCATAAAAATTATTTTTATTATAAATTTTTTTTAAGTGAAATTACTATTATGGACATCAAATAAACACATTCGGAAGTTGAATGTCGAAAAAATGATAAAAATTTGGAAGTCTACTTCCGAACCAATTGTTTATTTTCGGAAAGCTACTTCTGAACCAATTGTTTATTTTCGAAATGCTACTTCCGAACCAATTATTTATTGAAAAAGATGTGTATAGAATGTAATGGGTGTGTGCAAATAGAAGCTCCCCATTATATCATATCCCCTTAGTTGGAATATGATTTAAAAAGTCCAATTTACCCTTTGGTCTATCTAACATAATATAATTTAATATATTTTTTGAATTTATATAATATAATTATTGAATTTAATTTAATGTAAATATTATTGAATTGAATTTAATTTAATTTAATTTAATTTAATACAAATTTTGAATTTAATATAATATAATATTATTGAATTTAATTGAATTTAATATAATATTATTGAATTTAATATAATATTATTGAATTTAATATAATATTATTGAATTTAATATAATATTATTGAATTTAATATAATATTATTGAATTTAATATAATATTATTGAATTTAATATAATATACTATTATTGAATTTAATATAATATACTATTATTTAATTTAATTTAATATAATATAATATTATGAGGGCAATATTGAAAATTACTTGTTTATATCCCACAATATATTTTGTAAAACAAATATGGATAATATATATCCAATCTTATATATCATGTCAACAAACATGAATTAGGAGATATATTATCCAATACATATACTCTATTTATTATATATCATGACTAAATCCCACATCATATTATATTCTCCATTTTATATCCAGTGAAACAAACAGGGCCATAAGCTATGTTTGGGAAGAAGGTTCTGTGGCTCTCTTTGGCTAAAATAGTCCCAAAAAAAAAAATAATAATAATAATAAATAAATAAAAATAAAAAATAAAATAAACTTCTTAGCTTAATAAAACAAAACATCACATCTAACTCATAATCATTACATTCTTTCTCTAAAAAAAATCAAAAAGTCAAAAAAATCAAAAAAATTTCCCAGACCAAACTTTTTAATCCCAAGCTAAAATAATCAGAAAAACCAAAAAATTAAAAAGCCAACTCACTTCCCTTTTATATACACTAGCGGCCGCGCACACGCGATGCGTGTGCAAACTCGTTTGGAATTATAATATGAAATTTAAATTAAATTTTCTAATAATGCACATGTAAATCACATGTATAACTATGTGTAATGTAACATTTGATATTAAGATATTTGATAAATGAAATAGATGTACGTTAAAATTTGTTCAATTTTTTTTTTAAGAAAATATAATATTTATTAATCTTAATTAAAGAAAACTCTACAACAAAAATTCATATAAAATCTCAATTTGGTAAGATAAGACTGAAGATCTTACAAATTTTACAAAAAATATATAAGATACATGTAAAAATTAATTTACAAACAATGTACATTGATTAAATTAGAATTTTACGTTGTTAAAGTGAGCCACAATTGTTCATATGCGTACTTTGACTAATAGAGTACAATAATAATTTTGATTTTCTAATTGGCTTATTATATATAAAGGCACAAAATGTAAATATTATTGAAGTCTTTTATAAATGAGACTAAAAAATTTTTAAAATACATTTTG